AAATCGGGAGTGAGAGTCCGTGCCACACTAGTGGGGCTAATCCAGTTCATACTCATAGATTTTGTTAGCCTATTTCTAAAGACGTACCATTCATTGTTCGGGTTTCGAAGCCATCAGGATCATTCATCAGTGGACTTGTTAAATCGTCCATCGTTGAGGAAATGTTATTTCTGCTCAAATTTATGGCATTTTCTCCAATGTCCGCATCCGTCATGTCCGTGTCCGCCATGTTTACATCCAGTCCCAACTGACGTATGACCTCGACCCTCGACCCGCCCGCATGCATGACAGCTGGTACGTGGTACGGTACTGAATTCACGCGATATAAAACGAGATTCTTCGTGAACTCGAGATTGCAACCTTGAAAGTGACGTCACCTAGTTACGTGCGTAGCAACATGTAATAATGTCAAAATTGTTCTTGATTCATCCGCTTTGAGGTAAACGTTTCTAATCTGATGATCAAATTTTTTTTAATATAAATATTGTCGACGTTATTTGAAAAAAAGAACTCAAGAATCAGAATAAGGGTGAAATAGTCCAAAGGAAAACAGTTTCCTCAAACTACTTTTCACTTGCGGATGCCAATCAATGTTTACTGCGGTGTTGCTGGGCACTTGCAACTTCCGTACCGCCGTCTATCTAGTACCCAAATAAGCGTGTATGTATGCAATACATTAATGGCAATGCAACTTCAGTCGGGAAGTGGGTGTGCAATGAGAAAGGTTTTCTCGGATCTCGAAGTTTCAGAATCGGATGAAATTAAGAGAACAGAGCATTTAAAAGTCGTGTGAAGTGTTTTATGTTACATTTTGCGTTTTCTTTCTCGTTTTCAAGGGAATAACCCTGAAGTTTGTTCAACGCACGCCGTGCACTTGTTTTCAACACCCGTTGGGCTACACCACCGTGCGCCGCATTTACAGCCCAGGAAACTTTACAGGAAGGCTCAGCGACCAATCAAAATGGCATTTGCAGACATAGCGGTGATGGAAACAGTTCGTCTGCTCGACAAAGTCAGGGCAGAAGGACCCAAAGAACGCCCAGAGAGAATCTCGAAAGAACCTCCGCAGTTTAAAGCAGTGGGCCTACATAAAACGAAGTCCAAGGAAGGAAAGCAGCCCAAAACCGACCCACTTCGAGTCTTGGATCCCGGACGCAAGAAGCTGACAACAGTGGAATCTCAGAGGGTGTTGGCTGTCTTAGATGAGGCAATCAAACGGACTGAAGTGGTTTCACTGTTGCCGTATGTTATTGAGAATCTGGACAGGTTCGGCGTGGTGCTAGGTGTAGAACTCGTCACAGCTCTGGAGGAACAAAGCAGAATGAAGAACTTGTACGCCGATGCATGCACACAGCTGAATGCCATCAGGAATCCAGAGCCAGTCTTGGCATCTAGTGTAAGCCGAAGGTCATCAGCACTGTCCCAGAGGAGTGCTGGCTCACAGAGCCGGGCATCGTCCAGGCACAGCAGCATCATTGCAACTGAGAATGATGTCAGTGATGAGGAGGAAGAAGACGAGATGGGCATCTCAGAAGAGGAGGAGCAGTTGATGCAGACGTTGGCCACCCTGAAGCAGCAGATGAGTTTCTCCACCCGCAACATCCTGCGTCTCCTCTCGCTGAACCCTGCCGCTGTGAACGCTGTGAGGGCGGAGCGTAAGCAGCGAGATCAGGAGGCGGGCAACCTCATCACCTACTTGAGCGAGCTGCGGGGATTCATCCTGGAGCGACTGCTGACCACACCCCTGGAGGAGAAGGAGAAGACCGATTACCTCACCCACATCACCATCCGAGAGAGGAATAACGCCCAAGTCATCAAGAAGCTGTCAGCAGAACTCCAAGCTGCTGAAGATGAAAAAGATGAAGAGGTAGGTCCTATAGACAAATCTGAAGAGATGCCATTCTTGCAGGCCATCGCACTCACACACATGTCTTAACTTGAGTGTACACGTGCATTTTGGCAGGTTATGATGCCCTGTTGGCCAGAGAGGAATGTAACATGTGGACACGTACGACCTGCGTGCGAACAGGATGGCCCCGCTGTAATGGCTAACTACATGATTCTTTCTCCCGATTTTTCTATAGGCCTAGACCCCTTGCGTTAACGCAGAGTCAGAGGCTGTTCTTTGTTATTTGAATTTAATTACAATGAAGGCCCAAAAGGTTTACTAGAGCCTATCCTAGAGGAAGAAAGAAATGCCCTCTAACGCAGGGAGCCTGTTGAAAAAGAGACAACCACAGCACTGAGTGGTCCATTATCAGAGAAATTACTGGGGTGACATGTACATGCAGTTGCTGGGTGTATTTTCAGAGGGGCGGTTCCAAGCAGAGGGTCTCTCTGTAGAAACACCTGATTGAGGAAAGAGTTTCATATCTCGAAGTCGCTAGTGCACATCCCCCCATGGCACTGGTCCGAAAAAAATCTAAAGTGTTTTTGAAGTAAATGCCTGAACACTTCCCCTGCTGAATGTGACTTTGGGTACGGTGTTATACAGCTACAGTTAATGTTACGAACACAGCTGGGCGTGAAATAATGCACCATTTCTTGTTGGGATTTTGCCTGCATGTAACCTACAGCACAGCACATTCAGAATTCAGAGTTGTCAGAACAAAATTATTGTACCATTGTATTTTGAGGCTGTATATGTTTTGTCAGAACAGTTCTTACAGTACCAAATTATTACAGAATTTGGAAGAAAAAACAAAATTACACGGCATGTACTTACATTGTACACTTTCCACCCCCTGCTTTTATCGTCAGATCTCCAAACGAAATGAGGAGATCCGTCGTCTGAAAGCCGAGCTGAACCAGATCGAGAAGTTCTCAGAAGAGCACATCCGCCGCACCAAGTCGGAGGCCGACAAACAGCAGCAGGCGGACGCCAAGAACTCGGATGGCAAGCAGGCCAAGCTGCAGGCAGAGCTGCAGGCACTGAAGACACAGCTGGCCACCAACACAGCAGAACACCGAGAGAGCGAGTTGGCACTCAGGAAGGTAAACGAGGGGGAGGGGCGAAATTTTGTTCGGGGGGGGGGACAAAGCACGTATCAGCAGCAAATTGATAAACCATTAACGTTGACATGTCTCGACTCTGAGGCATTATCTTGCAAATTGGTGATTTTTGTCCCCTTTCCTGTTTTTTCTTCGTTCGTTTCGCGTTTTCTTTTCTTTGCATTTTTATTCCCCCCTCCCCTCCTTGACAGTGCTCATGTTAGGGGGAGAGACAGCGCTCATGTTAGGGGGAGAGACAGCGCTCATGTTAGGGGGAGAGACAGCGCTCATGTTAGGGGGAGAGACAGCGCTCATGTTTGGGGGAGAGACAGCGCTCATGTTAGGGGGAGAGACAGCGCTCATGTTAGGGGGAGAGACACACTTCAGCAGACAAGTCTGGGACACGGCCTTTAGGGTTCTGTACATCAGCCCATCAGGGCGGAAGTGTTGAAATAACAGGGCCAGATCAAGAACGCTTGTATTATTAGTGGGTTCTTAGATATTAAAAACAAATGGAATACAGCAACATAAAAAAGACTGGAATACATGTATCTATCTATCTAGTCCAATACAATGTATGTGTATTGGAGCATTTGGTACCAGGTCCTTATATCCATATGTTAATAGCATCAATGCCCCTGGACGTCTGAGTCATCTATTTATTTTGAAATTTTCAAAAGTAGTTAATTTCTGGATTAATTAGTATCCCAGCAGCTTGAATGGGATCTCCATAATGCAAGGATTGCCAATAACAGCCGTCATGGTATCATCTTGTTTTGACCTCAGAGAAAATACAAGATTGAAACCGAAGTTGAGAACTGGATCCAGAAATATGACACTGACATGGGTGAACGGCAGGTAAGTTTTCCATGACAAAGGCCTCAGGAAGTTTTGGGGGAGGTGGGCCAGTGAATTTCTATATTGCTTTTCAAGGGGTCAAATTTTGTGCTCATTCTCTTTCAAATTAGCTCAGCTTGTACCGTGTGCTTCCGTATATTGTAGGCTGCACAGAACTCATAACCCTGAACTCTGACCTTTTTTTTTGCCTACATCACAAGCGCAGGTGTTCCGCTGCATGGCAAAACTTTTTCTGTCCTTGAGTAGAGAGTCGGAACGAGAAGTGTAATTCACAAAGGGGTAAAAAAAAATTCATGGGAATACGTAAACACTAAATAATTAATGCTTTTACTATAAACTGCTAGAAAAAGCGGGCCCATTTCAACAGTGATGAAGTAAGTTGTGCATTTTGAGCCAAACAGTGTTGTTGTTAATAGAAACAAAGGGTAGACTTTTTGTAATCTTTGGCCATGAAATGCTGTTCAGTGTTTGTAAACAAAACAAAAGGGTACTGGGGCCAATTTCCTTGACCTGCCGAGCACAGAGAATCTCCTAAGTGCAGAAAATAGTTGCTCGGCAAAAACAGGTTACCAGCCGAAAATTCATGCACTGTGTGCTGCTTCTCGCCAATTTCCCCACTGAGTTCCGCCCAGCACACATGACGTTTCCATTAAGCAATCACTTCCCGCACAGCAGCAAGCGGCTGCCCGATTTGCGAGAATTGAGTCATTTGGCCCGTACCTTTATACCCACCCAACAGGATGAGTATGAGGACCTGGACACTGTCTACACAGAGGAGAAGGCCCAGCTGAACGAGCTGGAGGAGCGCTTCAAGACGCTAGAGGTGGAGTACACCACCATCGTGGAAGAGCGGCGTGTGGCCCAGGAGAAGAAGGAGCGGGAAGAGAAGGAGCTGGCCCTGATGATCAAGGGTGCCACCGTCATCCAGGCCTTCTGGAGGTCCTACAAGTGCCGCAAGGCCCTTAAGGCCAAGAAGAAGAAAGGCAAAAAGGGCAAGAAGGGCAAGAAAGGGAAGAAGTAGAACACCCCCTCTCCCCCGACGCAAATGGAACATCCCGCCCTTCCTTCAGAGTATCTGCAAGTCTTTGTTCTCCAACCATTGGTTAAAGTTTTTCTCTGTGGGATTATTTTGTGACTTTTTGCTCGTCACAAGTGAATTCGCAGTTTATCAATAGTATTTATCCATGGAATGTTTGAATACCAAGAAGCGTTGCTTCCCAACTTTGCCTCCAGACATGTCTTCTAAGCAGCATATTTAACCCTAGCAGTACCTGCAGCCTGGTTTAGTAAGCACATAATGCCAAATTCAGAATGGTATAAAACTACCTTCATGGAGTTTATGTGGATAGGTTGCAAGGATCTTGAAGAACGGCTTATAGAAAGATTACTTTACTAAGTCTTGACTAAGACCAGTATGACAGCATGTTAACTTACGGAAGCTTCTGGCTTCCCAGGGACTATTGTATTGTTGCCAGTTACAGCCTACAAGTAAAGTTTTGTTTACAACCACATCACCATTGTGACATGAGAAGTAATTAAGAAGTTGGGAAAAACAATTTGAATTTTAACATTTCTGCGATAATTTTTCGCAAGCGAAGCGGGGACATTAATCTAGTTAGGAAGTTTCTTTGGCCTGACTGTTGTCAGTGATTTTCTCTTTGAAAGATGTGATTAATTAACCACCTGTCTTTTGTGAAACACAAATCCATCATTGACATTCCAATTTTTTCATCTGAGAAAATTTGTACTCATATGTGTAAATTTACATGCACTTAGGATGAACCGGGCATTTAGTGAGTATTCATGTACATGCATGTACCCGTGTACACATCTTGACCTTTGAACCATTGTAGCTGTTTCTGTTAGATAATTTTGCTTCATAAAATGCAAGCCATAATCAAGAAAAATAGTCTGAGATAGTCACATGATTTGAGGAATGTTTATTCTGTTGCTTCGCTGGATTTATTCCCAATTCAACACCTGTATCATAATACCTTTACATGTATATAGATCATGTTTAACGTGTTTAATTTGAGAAGTCATTCCGGTTTGCTTATTTCTGTCGGACTCATTGCTGTACATGCATGTACTGGAGAGTACATGTATCAATAAAAGTGCAGACTGAGACAGCGTCTCGTTTAAAATTAACAGAAATTTGCGATTTTCGAAAATGTGGGGTTTTTTTGTTGTTTTTTTTGGTGGTGTAAATCGTACTTGGCGGGCTCCGTCCAGTTTTCACCTTCCACTATTTGACAGTTTAATACATCTACATTGAATTTGTGTCGGTGATGGTACGTATACAGTGTATGCAGTTCCAGAATTTGACCCTGTTCCCGAGGCTGGTTTCTTGATACTCCATCACATTAATTATATGCCCTGAGCGGAAGCACCCCTCATCGGTTGAAAAGAGCCATGTTGGTCGGGAGCGCTCAATTTTGCTGGTAGCGATGCTACTGCCATTGCCATTGGTAGCTCAATCCATGGAGCCCCACCTAATATAGGTCCTGCAAAAAGTGGGGGCCACCCCCCCAGTCGAAAAAGTGGGGGAGGGGGGCACATGCCGATACCCCCCAACCTCTTCCGCCACCAGTGTCCAGAAGGATAACTCGCCCCCCCGCTGGATTTACGCAACACCTCTCCCCTTCCACGATTGCATAGCTTTACTCTTCTTTCACTTAATAAACCGGCTTCCAGAACATCCAGTTTAATTAATGTCATAATTTCATCCGAACTTGACTGGGGCAGAGTTTTAAATGAAGGAGCTCGATGTCAAATGCATTTAGATTTGGAGTCCCAACCCGTAGTTGTTCAACCATGGGTCTTAACGTCAATAAGGTATCTTCCAAACTTGGTCAACAGCTCCTATTATAAAACAAAAATTGTTGGGAAAGACCTTCGAGTTTTTTTTTTTCACTTTTTAAAAAATTCCTGTTTGCACTATTTATTCCTTTGTTACATGTGTTACATGTGTTATTGTGTTCAAAATGGTTGGTTCCAGTGTTGGAAAATTGAGCTGTTGTATGGATGTAGAAAGGCAAACTTGAGCGCGTTCACTTTGCTGATGTGGACGTGAGCGTCATTACGCGCTGAGAAAGAATGTGCCAAACGCACTCGCAGCTACTAGAACGTGCTCTTTTTAAACATTTCTGTTGTAATGGATAAAACAATCAAGCTATTTAGCCGACTTTGTCTCAACTGTTTTTCACCGTCCGAGCAGCCATCCTCCTCCGATTCAGTTAGAATAGCGATGCACCTCCGGAGCCAGTCTCAAATGCGAAATGACGAGCTGTACAACGCCATCCACACGGGTGACGCAAGCAGATGCAAGGAGCTACTGGCGATGGGTGCTGTCAACCTTCAGGAGGGCGACTACTCCAGCAGTCTTCCACGAGACGCCGTCAAGACCACGCTGCCCCTGCAATTCGCCGTGATGCACCGCCAGCCAGAAATCGTGAAGATGCTCCTCCGGCATGGTGCCGACCCTGACTGGGTAGACATCGAGGGGAAGACGGCCATCCACACCTTGATCTTATACTGGCCGAGATGCGTCCCGAAGGACGACAGTCAACTGTTCTCCCAGGAGGTCGCAGCGTACCGACAGTACCTGCGAGCCGTAGACCTGATATGCATCAACACCCTCCGAAGGCTATGCGCCTTCGGGAGCAGTCCAAATGCCCGTGACAACCGCCAGCAGTCGCCGTTGCACTACTCCGCCAGGTACGACATCCCCGGAGCGGCCAAGATGCTCTTGAGTTACGGTGCCTTCAAGGATGCCCGCGATATTGACCGCAAAACACCGGCGATGCTGGCGGCAGCGATGGGAGAAGCCTGCCTTGCGGTGCTTCTCGAAGCCAAAGCTGACGTCCATCTTACCTGTAACCGAGGCAAGACGGCGCTCCACTACGCTGTGGAGTCTCGTTGCCCACAACATAAGAGGGAGGCTTGTGTCCGAATGCTGCTCTGGCAGGGAGCTGATCCAGACGCCACAGACAGCAACGGTCAGACGCCCCTCCACGCCGCTTGCAGAACGGCCGATGAGTCCGTCATCACATGCTTGCTGCGAGCGGGAGCAGATGCCGACATCCGGGACTCTACCGGCATGAACCCTCTCCACGCGCTCTTGGAGAACCCACACAGCCGTCCACTCAACATCAGCGCGGTTCTAAAGCTCGCAGATGCCACACTACGGTATGGGTTGCCCGACAAGGAGAGCCTCCCCGCCTTACTCACCCTTCCGGGGTCAGAGCCTCTCCGAGAGGCGCTTCTCACCTGTAGAACTCCCCCGCCGCTCCAGAGACTCTGCAGAAAGGTACTCCGCTTTCAACTGATTTTCGCATCCTCTTATGAAGATGAAATAGAAGACAACATCGCTAGGCTACCCCTTCCTAAAGCCTTGCAGAGATTTTTGGTACTGGATCGTACAAACCCGATCTGGCAAATATTACTTGGACAATGCAAGTTCGAATAAGTGGTAGGCCTAATCATCACTGATCACTCCCGATGTAGCTTCCCCTATGAGATCAGTAGACGCTCCATGGGTCATTTGTGATGCTTTCACTCTGAAACACTGCCAAGTAGAAACAGCGCCCTCTACAGTACACCTTAACGTCTGAAGCGTTGGCCGACTCGAACGTGGGTCGGCTGCTCGAACGCCGAGAACGAACAACCGGTTATTGCTGGTAGTTAGTGACAAGCAACATGGCGGCGTCCATGTAGGCTACGTTATTCCAGAATTAATGTTTGGATGGGCTGAATTCTTTTCTATATAAACAGGAACATTCATTTCTGTGATACAGAAAATAATTAATGCTAATTTTGCAAAACTTCCTATGGTCTATGGCTTTGGAAGCCATCTCTCTACTTTTGTAGCTGTTCAAAAATCAAAATCTCACGAGTTTTTCCGTGTGTTCCTGTAAAACCCTGACGAGGAGGTGGTGTGTGATTCTGTTCCGAGAACAGTGCTCTTGAGTCGTGTTCCCGCCGTTCGAGCACGAGAACAAGAAACCCGTGTCAAGAACAGGCCGCCCTAACTCGACCGTTATTTTGAGATCAGCAGCTAATTTCTATGTGTTTCCAGACAAATCCTAAATATTGGAATGTTATATATATTATGATATATTATGAACATGTACATAACAAACGAATTTATTTGAAGATGGAATTGTTATTTTAAACGTTGAAATCTGGTAAGCCTTCACCTTCTTTTTTATTTTTTTCATTTTTGGTGAAGAATACCTGTATAAGACTGGTACGCAAAATTAAAGGTCGTTGGCATTATTCCAAGCCATTTTCAACCCCTCCGCTCAATTCTGAGGCGAGGCATAGATCCCCGGGGTGGGATGGGGGTGGGGGTAGGGAGGTAGTATTACCTCCAACCTTTTGGCCAGGGGAATGGACAGCTTTATGCGGTAAGGAACCTAAAAACTGAAAGTGCAGAGTTTGAGATTTTTAAAAATTTTCCAAGGGCGAACATTCATTGCATATATCACTGCGGAACTGAGAGCAGACCATGATTGAACGGGCCTTCAGGTACATAACGTTTGAGGCACATAAGACGACACATGCATTAAAAGACCCCCCACACGAAAAAAAATTCCTGGATCAGCCCACGAAGTACACACAGATACAAAAGATTTGTATCACAGACAACGCCTGTTATTGCAGTGCGATGTCCTTTCCCAATCTCATGATTTTTACAAAGTTGGATTTTATTATTTTGCTCACTCCCCACCTCAGCCAGCTCCCACTGGGCACTCGAATGGACGTCACTTCTCTAATTCTAATGTGTTACATACAGCCTAGATTCACTGCTGTCGAATTCCGAACGGAGCACGAGGTTCAAACACCGGGTCTCTGAACTTTTTTCTCCCGCCCCCCCCACATTTCAACCGACAAGCCTCGTCATCGCCCCCTCTGTGACACCAATTCCCCTGACGCTAGTTCAGGTTCACTGTTACTTTTCTCCCGTCAAGTGGTGGGTTCTGCCGGTGCCCGCTCAAGTCAATGGGTTATGCGGGTTTTTTTGTCAGGACCCGTGGGAGAGATCCCCCTGCATCTTAACAAGCCATCCGGCTGGCGGGAAGTCAAGTGAATCCTGGCCTGGGGGCATGGGAGCTATTTGTAGCCGTTGTGTCCCCCCCCCGGAGTGCGAACTCGAATTCACCACCTCCGGTGCTGCTCCGAGAACAGCACAGGCGTCTCCCAGTTTTACCAATTCTATTTGCCGGTGGGTGATAAAGTACAAAGCGGTTGGGGTCAAGACAGTGACCGGTCATAGGGATCAAATAAAGCAAATGAACTTGACCAACCGGTAATTACTGATGACCAAACCTCCGGACTGTTGGCAAATGGCATCACATCGTATAAGGTCCACCTACAGGAAACAATGAAAACCTTTTTTTAAAAATAAAGTACCGGTACTGAGTTATGGAATGAGGACGTAGCAAGTTTTAAGTGCTTAAATAATTTTTCACTATTGCTTGAATTTTATCTCCTCAATACAGTGTGGCACATGGAATGGCTTACGACAAAATACTAATTACGCAGAGTAAGTCCAGAAACAGTGTATTGTTTGCAAGAAACATTGCGGGGTCTCTTGCGTGTAAGTTTCGCCCCTTCTTGACAAGCTACTGTGGAGGGTATATAGCGCCCTCTGTTGGCATGCTTATTATTTTGACACGGAGTTCACCCGTCACTTGAAGCGCATGTCTGTGCAGCTAGAAATACTGGACCAACAGACGCCTCCAGTCAGGCATTCCAACCCAGCATGTTTGAAATTAAATTGAAGGCATAATAATTGAATAGTGCGCAAAGTTTAATTGTATGCTTTGGAAAGTATCCGTTGAGGGGCTTCGTATTGATGGCAATAATAATAATTTCTTTAAATCAAGTATTGAACTTGACAATCGGCCAGATTTATATTATACATGTTCGTATTGAGAACGGCTAAACCAACGTGATTAGAGTGAAGCAGGTTGAGCTGTTTTTTGGGGAGACTTTACATCTCAAAGGGGAAAACTTCTTGCATTCGCGATAGCCTGACGCAGCAATGTGCCGTCCATTGGCTCCATTTATTATAATCCACAGTGAAAGTGCGAAATCCTTCAGGAAATAACAAAAATGAGCAGGCGAGAAGCAATTTCTTGTTAAGTCCTCTCACAAAATCCCATCCCAAATCACTCGTAGAAGAGACGAAAAGGAGGAACTTTGAGGAAAACTGCATGGAATAGGTACATTATAGGGTCGGTTTTGATCAAACAAACAGGTCGGAGATCAACATTTATCTTCCTCGAGTCCAGTCTGGCCTCTCTCAATCGACCCAACCCTTGCCGAAGGCGAGGATGAGATTGTGATCTTGATTCGTGCAAGAGTCGTCCCCTTCCAGTACCGATCTGATCATCTTGGGCCTATCGATTCAGGCCAATTCCACCACGGAGTGCGGACGATGTGGGTGATAGTGGCCCGTGCAGTGTACTATTGTAGTGTTGTGCTGTCGCGTGAACCAATTATCGGGCATCCTCATCAGCGGCGTATAAGATATCCCCCCTTGATTTGCCAAACATCATCTCCAGCGGGTCAAATTAATACCATTTCCCTCGACGACAGACGCCCGTGACCCCCTCTCAATTGACATGTTGAGGGAGGGGGATATTTCTGGTCCCCCCAGCCCTCGGGCGACGGGGCTCTGGCCGATCAGTCACCGGGGCTGAAGATGTTTCTGGCCTATTCCGATGGAGAAATTACACAAAAAGTTATAGATATAGTTATAGATTCCCGTCATTTATTATGGCCACCCCGGGAAAGTGATGTCCACAGGTTGAACAATTAACTTGCAAACCACACGAAGCTGATTCACGACAGTGGACAGTTAACCGTGTGCTCATAGAACACACGAACTGGACGGGTCAGTATAACGGTACCTTCAAGCCCTCTACGTTCAAGAATGCCATTTAAAACGCAACGAAAACTCGTCTTTAGTACAAAAAGGTCACCTTCTGTCGTTTTAAAACAGCCAGTAATTTTTTTTATGTAACTTGTATGTTCAATTAAACCTTTCCAACGGCACAATGCGGAGTTTAGCGTCTAAATTCCCGCGAGAATATATGACTTAAGTCAGAACCATTGGCCTATCTATCGGTACTGAATTAAATTAACACACAGTGCAGTGTGCATTATAATACCAACGATTTTGCTTACCGTTGAAGGGTGAATGGGGAACGCACCCCAAATGGACAAAATTTGTTTTTAATTCTTGCAAAGTAATGAGAGGAAAAGATGGCTCTGTTGGTGGGGACCATTTCATTTCCTTTCTGTGTGTAAACCGTCCCCAAATTTAGCCTCCCACCTCAGGAAGGTCCAAAAAGGTTATAGATAGAAAATTCCCGAATTCCCCCACCCTTTCCCGCAAAAACTGGTTCTTGGGTCCAGCCTTGGTCCAGGGAAGCACCTTCGTATTGGTTCGAGGCTCGTTTGGATCCCCGTACTCCAGAGACAAAGGTTTAGGTGAGCCTAGTTTTTGTCTCTCTTCATGAGGCAGGCCCTAAAGGTTCTTCGTAATTCGTGAAGATGAACCTGATCGGGAAATGTGGACAGCCGAGGTAGAAGTCGGTAGCCAAAGGTCATTCCAAATCCGAGTGTCCTTCTCATGAGAGGATGGCCAATGTTTAAATGTTTGTGTTCCCCTGCCTCTCAAGAATAATGGTAGTCTCGATACACTGACCATAATACGCTGATCTGCCACAACCATGGAATGAGTGGGAACCACGGAAAGGCTTTCATATGTCCAAAGGTTTTCATTTTAAAAATAGACAGATTTCAAAGTTTCAAGTCGTTTTAATGGCGACAATGGACCAAGTTCCCCTTATAAAAGTCACACTTATAAGACGGTCTTAAATCTTAAACAATGATGTCGAAATTGGAATCTGAGTCCCCTTGTTCCATATCGGGTTAATCCGGGTACTCATGGACATAGCTTACATACAGGAAAGGATTGGCTGTCTTTCCTGCCGGCCAAAGATCCGCCCCTCTCTGTCTAAATCCTGGCAAACGAGTGATGAAGTTCTCTTCTTCAAGGGGCAGAATCTTTCCCCTTCACTCGTCGGCCCCAGGCCGAGGTGATGTCATCAATTGCCTCAGATTTCCCGGCATTATGACCGAGGCTGCAAACAAATCATTCGTGAGGTATCTAAGATTTCTTCCGTACTCATTTTTCTGTACAACCGGGGAGGGCCTACAGGTGCTCAACCGTAAAAGGTGAACTCCCGTCCCGCGAAACACAGCCAGGCTCGGTGACGGACTGGCCCTGCCACGCCCCATGAGCCGGGAGGGAAAAAGACCGTGGAGCCGTAATGCGACTGTCCCTCTCCCATTGCATGTTCATTCCATCCACCTTGGACGCCATCCATTCTTTTACGGTCTGCGTTCGGTACTATCGCCTGCGTGCGTATCGTTGGAAGGAAATTATGCATTGAGTCCTTGCATCGCGTGAGGATAAGGAACGCCTGGAATCTGAATTTTTTTTCTTAGTACAGGAATTAAAAGCATGCCAGGAAGACACCGAGGTTCCCAGGACAGAAAGTAAACACACACTCTATGCACTCTTTTTTAAACTGCATTTTTATCTTGTACCGGTGGGAAGTTGCTTGGGTATAATTAGGCTGAAGCCAACCTCGAGATCGTATGTAATGCTATCTAATGCT